AATCTTGTGAGCGTTGTTCTTCTGCTCTGAGTTTGCTCTGGGCAACAGGCTGGCAATAAGATATATGAAAAGAACAGAAAAACATGGTAAAATTTATATTATAATAGTTTGTACATAATCCTGCTGCTGGGCCTAAACAATAGGATGAACAAGGTAGGAGGTGAAGAGGTGAAACATGCTGCAACATTTGAGGTCACTTCAAAGGGAAGCCAACAGTAGCTGTTGGTAAAGGTCTCTTCTTGCACTCAATTTCTATTTTCCTTTTCTTCAGCTGAGACTATTTCATCTCAGAGCAACAAAGGCTCTAGGCTATAAGCCAAAAATACTTGGAATGGAAATTGTCCTTCAGTTTTCTCTGTGTAAAAGCAAAAGTCCTGCTTTTAAATGACCTAAAAGTGAAATGAACTAACAAAATAAAATGAGACTTACATCTTGTGGTGTATTTGAGTAGACAAAACTGCATAATATAATGGATACTGAGCTCTACAAATGAGTGTATTTTGTTCAGGTGTCTAATTTCTGTGTATCGCTTATGCCAACCAGTATTCAAATCAGATCTCCTTCATAAGCAGGAAGTACTAGTTTAGATGTGTCATCACAAGGATAAAGCGTTGGTCAAATGAACATACTCGTTTAAACTACCAAAACAGTTTTCTTCGTTAAATCACATTCAGAGAGCTTGCTGCCAACCTGTCATCTAGTTGAATAATCTAGAAATAATACAGTTTATTTCTAGACCTGGACTTGGTTTGGATTTCTTGCTTAGCTTTTGGAGGAAGAATGACAAGAATGACAGTTTTTTCACCTGTGATGTAAGTGCAGCATCATTTAAAAAAGGGGAGGAGAGAGAACCTAAACTATTTATCTCTTGATAAACATTTTTTTTTTTTTTAAGTAAAGGTAGAATGGGTACTTTTGTGGTATTTTTGACCGCCATCACATGGGGATGGAGGTGCATTTGTGCAGCATAATTATTTAATTGGAGTGTGATGTAGCAGGGCAAATGGCCTCTGTAGAAAGTAAGAATTCTGTTACAGCTTGACTTTTTTTTTTTTAAGTTCTTTCTTTACATAAAGAGCGCTCTAATGGAAGATGATTTGAAAAACAGTTATTGAGACTCAGTGTGTGTTTGGACTAATGATACTGCTGTAAACCTGGCATGAAAGGGTATGCTAAAGGGGAGACGTTTTAAAACTACTAGTATATTGCAATCCTGTTTTTCCTTGTATAGCAGGAAAAGATTTAGCATATGTGTAGGGGATGAGTTTTGCACTTAGGACAGTCTATTCCAGCCAAAGGTCTGTCCTTAAGAAAATTATTTTTGTAGGAAATAGTCACACGTTGCTGGATGGTTTTACCAATCTTTTTAGGCAAAGGGAACTAAATTAAAGGGAAAGTGATGAGGGGGAAAAAAGGAAAGGGGAAGAAGTGCCTAAAATGTAGGGGAGTTCAGTTTCATCCACTGATCTTGATCTTAGAGCTGAACTTCGTGTAATTAAAATGAATGCTAAGTGCATCTGCAATTCGATATACTAAATCCTACGTTCACTATTTCCAGTTCTAGCTTCTTTAGAGACCTGGATCCTTCCTTAACTCCGTAAGAGAGGTTACTGTGTTTTTCAGAAACAATGAGCTGTTTTTAGAACTTATATAATAAATTCAGCTTGACTGATTCTGCATCATTTGGGAATCTGTCCCAACGTACAGTCCACTTGAGTGCAGTTAAGTGTGTGTGTGGTTTTTTTTAATATTCTCTCTCCTCAAGACCTTGAATTAAAAATCAAGGGTGACTTGCATGCTGTTGTTTGATTGTGGATATGAAGAACCTTTGATTACGTAAATTCAGTAAATATTTATAGAAATGACTCTAAATAATGGCAACAGCTGTTATTGGGTAATGTGAGCAATAGTTTGCATGTAAAAGTTTAATGAGTTATTCAGTTTTTAAAGGGCAGCAGTATTCTAAAGCAAAGTTATTTTTTATAGAGTTTTTTTCACTGCTGCATGTATTTATGATCCTTGGGGAAGATATAGAGCGGTGAAGGCAAAATTTCCTATGACAATATACTACCATTTTTCTTTTTTTTTTTTTAAGTAAATCCCAGTAAACCCTAAAGAAGTTGAGAAATATTTTATTAGTATGAGGCAAGGCAAGGATTCTTATTCAGAAATAATATATTAATTGTTAATTTAGTCAGTATTTTTTATTACAAATGTATCTTAAGGCTGTGAATTGCCGTTTCCTCTCTCTGAGGAGATCAAAGTTCAGCCCCTTTATCCTGGAAAAGATTCGGCCAGGCGATGCAGTATCTCACGCTGAACGTGTCCCTGTGCTTTTGTTTTAGTCAAGATGATCGCAGCGACACGTCATACTACCAGTGAATGTTCTAGCTGAGGAATTGAGGTTTAAAGCTCTAGGTTATACCTTTGTTTTGAAATTACTAGAATTCAGGAATACCTGCCATGCTTCAGGAAAATTCTCAGTTCTTCTGCTAATTCTTCAGTGTTGCTTCCCCTTTATTCTGGGTACCTTTAGGAGAAAAGAATAATAAAGTGGAATATAAAAAGTGGGGAACTTCTTAGAAATAATTTGTCTCTCTAGACAGTATTTGCATGATTTGAAATTCTGTATTAGGTGGAATGGATGGAAAAGTTTAACTTTGTCTTACCGCAGATATTTACACTAAGGGTTATTCATCTACAGGTCATTAGGTGAATAATTAAGTAAGTGGATATTGTTTTATTTTGATGCGATCATCAGTTATGATATATTTAAATCCAATATTGATCAAATTGTAATGTATACAGTTTGAGCAACATGTTATGGTGAGACAAGCCCTGAAATTTCTTTCTTTCTTTCCATTTTTTAATTTATTTAAGGAATGGAGCTATTAGTAATTGTTTCAGTGTACTGTCCAGTGCTGTAATGTGTCACTGTTAGCTGTAATAGATTTTTTTTTTTTTTTATTTTTAGGATGGATTTTTGCCAATTTAGCAGTCTGACACACCATTCAGTGTAGACTGTTTGCCAGCTACTTAAATTGATGTTTCAGGAATAGCTGCCTGCGGCCT